GAGGGAGAGGAGTCACTGGCATAGGTCCCTAAAACATGAGTAAACTCTTTGCCCTTGGTGTTTTGAATTCAAGACTGGCTGCCTTTTGGAAAACGTGCAGGAGTGAAATCTCAGTCCAGACGCAGATTAATTGTGAAACTCTCTAATCTGCATTTACAGTGTGCTTACACTCATGAATCTCAAAACAGGCTACAGCTAAAGGAAAAAAAAAAAGGCAAACCAAAAGCAGTAAATATTAGCAAACTGCCATTTGCTCTAGGGTATCATGAAAGTGGAAAAACTTGTTGAATACACAGTGTTACAACTTTTTCTCTGGGCACTTAGGTTAGCTGGGTGGCAAATATGCAGTTGTGTTGATCATTACCAGCTTCAAAGAGATAGATAGCATTTACCTTTCCCAAGGAGAAAGGCTTGTAAAAGCAGGCTTTTATTAACAGGTGCTTAATGCACAGAAACTGGAGTACCCAGCCCATGGAGACTGTGGTAGGCGTTTGGATTGTGCTGGTTTTAGCAAGAAGGCATCGAGCTGCCCAGCCTCAGCATGTGCAAGTTGTGTGACGAGGCCACCAGGTGCAGGGGCAACAAGGGTGACTGGTGCCTGAGAGGTTTTTTGGTTCAGCCACTGGCATGGGCCGTGGTGGGAGTGCTGCAAAGCGCTGGCGCACCTCAGGGCATCCTCTGGGAAAATAGTGTCTTTGGGAAGACTGCTTTCTTCCCCCTCTTCCCCCCACCAGATCCCGCACGCAGGTGCCAAGGGAGTCTTGTATTCCCTTTGCAAATGAAAGAAGGAACAGAGCATCTTTGAACAAGATCCTGATGTAAACGGGTTTGTGTGTAGTTACAACATCTGGTCATGTCGTAACATGACAGAGATAGTGGGTAGATGCAAAAGGCACATTTATTAGTGCTCTTACAACAGCTGCATGGAAGAAAAGTGGTAAGAATAAGTGATATGCAAGAGACAGATTTATTAGTGCTTTTACAACAGCTGCATGAAAGAAAAGTAAGAATAAGTGATGAGAATAGAGAGTATTCTATTATACTAGTTATGTGATACGGAAACTAATTTAAGAGTAGCCTGGCTTTTTACTAGAACAGGTTTGGTTTTTTTTTTTACCTCTTTATAGGCCAGCTGTAAGTTAGCAAACCTGCCATGGAGAGAAGTTTGAGCAAAATCCGCAAGTTGCGGAGGTATGCAATGGTGGACAATCCAATTAAGAAAAAGAATAGCAAAAGGAATATGTTTGGAGATGTGAAACAAATTTTGGTTATGTGACGTTTGGGAAGAAACAAAGGTCGGGTGATTTAATTTCTTTGCCTTCATGGGAGGCTACTTTCTGTTTAAAAGAAATCTGAAACAGTATCACTGACATGCTGACAGGCTTTCCTTATTCATTTGCAGTAATCTGGTTCTCCCTTTTGCCCCTTAACGACCATGGCCATTAAATTCTGACTGTTGCTGTATTTGAATTGTTTAAAAACGTATTTATTTCCTCCCTTCGTTCCATTTCTCTGCCTGTCCAGAAGAGCTGAATGTCAATTACTACTTGCTGCTGGTAACGATCCTTTTCCTTCTTGCGATGTCACGTGTGCAGCCACTTCCACTGTAGTCCAGATTCATCGCCTGCTTTGTCCATGTTTTTTTCCTTGTTGGCATCTCCTATCTTTTAACAGGTCCCCTGTGACCAAGATTTAGCAGAGACTAGGATAGGCAATTCTCTGTGTATATATAACACTTTAATGTTATACTCACTAATCCTGTAGTAACCTGGGCTCTTTATGCCACGATGGAAAGTGAAATACTGCTAAGCAGTTTAGTATCCCATCTGATTAGGTGAGGGGGTGGCTAAGGGCAGGATGCACTCAGCCAAGCCCTTGTGGCTGGAAGCAAAAAGAAGGACCCAGACCCTTTAGTTCAGGAGAGCTGGTGGGTCCTGCCACCTTTTGGGAGAGACGAGGGAGCCCGTGCAAAGTGTGAAGCTGTAGGCAGCGGTGGAAAGCCAGGACAAGCTGCCACCAACGTATTGCTGGCAGGGTAGAGATAAGCTACGTTAGTGCCGTGTACTTTGTACTGCCTCGTGCCACTCCTGCTGGTTTATTCCTATTGTTTTGGGCTGGTTCAGGACTGTAAGTGGGACGTCTGCAGGAAATGCCCAAAAAACAGCCATACTATGATATTTAGTTGAGGTGATAGTACAGTGTTTGCTACCTTCTTTCCTTCATTTCCGCTACAGGTTTAGGAATGTCATCCTGCCTCTTAAATTTGGTCTGCCTCGAATCCTGAAAACTCTGACAGTAATTAGAAAATTACTTCTACTGGTTTATCACTCGCAGTATTTCTCACAGTGTTTTATGTTCTCTCCTCAAATAATTTTAGTTGGATTCAGGCCAGTTTGCCTCTTCCTTTATCTTTGAAAGGGTCTGCTTTAAAGGTGCTGCCTTGACTGATTTGAAGTAGAGTGATTCTGGATTTAACGAAGAAGCTATAGGTCATGGTCAGTGACATGGGAATTGTGACGGATTGAAAGTACTGGGAAATTTATTAGCAGATTAGTCTGGGGACTGAAGCCTCAGCTGGGAGTCAAAAGCATGAAATTTTTGTGTAAGTAGTGGCGAGGTTTAGTTCATGAACATGCAATTTGATAATGATAACGTAGCCAGCTAATGCACAGGGCTACCTGCTCTGCTGCTGGATGCATTGGGCAAGCTGCAAAGCATCGTGTTGGAAGGAAGCAGCAAGGTTCCTAGCTGCTCCTAGCTACTCCGAGCTGCTTCCTGTTGCAAGTTTTAAGCACTGCTGAAACACTTTTGTATTTGTCCAGACCTGCTTCCCGGTTGATTAAGAAAGAAAATGGCTCTTTGGCAGGGCTCTTTGTTTCAGAGAAGTGGTTGAAAAGATTATGACAAGATTGCCCCATTATTTTTTTTTTTCTGGATTTTACTAGTTTTCTATCATTCAAAAGTTAGGTTCAGGTTCGCTGCAGTGTTGCCATTAGCATCCTTTGTCACTTGATCTCTCAGCACTAGACAGAGGTCAGATGTCCTTGAAGATTTTATTAGATACATCAAGCAGACCTTGACATCATGTATCAAAAAGTACTGTGGGACCAGTCAGAGCAGGCAGTGGTTCTCCAGATGACCTGATTTTTCTTCACTAAGAGATGCCGGAAAATATTCTTTCATTTGCTTCTCTACCAAAATGTCCTTTTTTATGAGCTCCATACTGTCCCTTCTGGGTGTGTGAGCATTTATACGGTTTGAAAGCAAGACATTTTATTCCACAGTTCCATTAGTGCAGTGTCACTGGTACTGGTATCCCCTTATAATCAGACTAAGGTCACAGAATGACATTGCTGGCTTGCTCCATCTATACAGTCTACCTGTATGGCTTTAGGTCTTTAAATGGCGAGAAGGGTGGTAAGTGTATATTCTAATTTATTATGCTTTACAGGCATCCCCTCGGTTTGGTTTCCTCCAGGGTAATTTAATGTTTTCCAGCACTGAAAGAGTTAAGAAGTGATCCTTTCCATAAGGTGGTCACCAAGCCCTAGCTGTAGGGTCTTGTTTGTACCTGACTTTTGTCTGTCCTGTTTCTCAGGTTGCGCTCTGCTCCGCGGGAGAATCTTGCACATCTGTTTTGGCTGGGAACACTCTCAGGAAAATCAGAGTGGTTTGTGTTCGTTTGTGTTTTGCAATCCACTGGCAGTTGTAGTAAGATGGTTTTCTGAGGTCCTGTTGCAGAAGGCTGGAAGGGAGCAACGTCTGCTGGAATGTCTTTTAGGGTGGCAGATAGAAAAACAACAAACTGCTTGTTTGCAATCCCTGCATTTTCTGTGTTTCATTCTGAATCACTGCTTTTCTCCTACTTAAATAGTTTTCGAGATCCAATGGGCGTTATTTCCAAGACTCTTTTCAAGTTGCATTTGCAATGGTGTAGAGACCTGACCATGCCACAGCCGCACATAGGCTTTCCTGCAGATGCAGGGGCAAAGGTAGCTTTAGTAAAGTATTCTTACTGATGCGTTACTTGTAATGTTCTGTTGTGTCCTGTTAAGTAAACAAATATCTATCCCCAAAGCAGTGAAAAAAGCAGCACTTGTCTGTATAAATAACATTTGTGAATTGCCTTGAGGATCTTCCTGGGTCTGAAGGCCTTGTGTTGATGTACTGCTTTAAGTGTAAACTTATTAAATGTCATAACCATTGATCGATTTGATCAGATAAAGCAGATCAAACGAGTAAGGCAATATGGAGATCTAGTTATTTTCGTGCCGTGCCTATGTGACGTACCTCCACTAGTGTCTTCAATAACCACTTTCAGGTGAGACATGGGTACAAATGGAATGACTTCAACTGGGACGTATGTAGGTTAGTAGTCCCCAAGTTCGGTCACAGCTGTGTTTACTAGCTCCAGGTTTTTACTGTGGAGGCCAGGGCTTTAAATTTACATTGATGAAATTATAAGTGAAAGTACTGTAGCTTTTCATCAGAACTTCAGTACTCATGACCTACATTAGCTTCCCTCCTCTCTGCCATCTCTTCACCTGCCTGAAAGACCCAGCAAAGCTTGGAGAAACCCATGGTGGACCCATGGGGATGCTGGGACACCCTACTTTGTCACCTGTTATAACCCAAAGTCTTTATATTAAGAACTAGGTATGTTGTCAGAGTGTGATACAGATGGATTTAGCAGGGGCTCTCAGTAGAGACAAGTTTCTCTGACCTGCAATGAAGACTACTAGCAGGGACAGGGATGGTCACCATTTTACTCGTAGGCTCCTATGATTCTTCTGGGGCTAGATTCAATTCTTAGCTCTAGTGATGTAAATCTTGGGGAGGTTGTGCAAAAATGGTTGTTACTTATGATCAGTTTCAGTAACAGTGAGGTCAGGCGTTAGTCCATCCTTGGGGAGGAGCGGGAGCATTGGAGATGGGGTGACGCAGGCTTCGGCACAGGCTGACAAGTGTCACCTGGGACGCCAAGTGTATAGGAGGGTATGATGGGGCTCACCCTGGCAATCCGGCCCATTGGGCTTCCAGTTCCACTGCTGTCTGTGCCAGGTGGAAACTCAGGGACGACCGTTGTCATTGCGAGCACACTGTCACCTACCATCTCAACTAGGTGGGTCCCCATTCAAAGCATGATTGAAAAGTGGAGGGAATCTGGGGCAGAGCCAGAAACAAAGCTGATTTGCCTTCAGGGATAACAAAATTTTGGCAAGCTGGTTTCAAAACCCAGAGGTTTGGAGGCTGTTTTGTTGGGTTTTTTTTTCTGAAGCACTTTCCATTTAGAGGGGTAATTTTCCTTTTGTGATGTTGCTTATGTTTGGGATTGTAGCTTACAGGTCTTCAAGGGTTTATGGTTTGTTCCATTAAGCCTCTAAGAGACTTATACAGAACAAGAGACTTCATATACTTTAGAGCTGAGTTTGCCTCTCCTATCTGAAAAACAAAAAAGACCCTGAATTTTAACTTTATTTTCTCACCCTTATGCTTCTCTGACATTTTCCCACTGCAAAGGGAAAGCAAGAAAAATTTACTGCTACTGGTTTGGTCCCTAGCTGCACACATTTTAGTTTATGGCTGGAAGATACTCTAACAGGTATATTCTACAAGAACAAATGTGACGAACTGCTGGCAAACGCATTTCAGCGAAACAAACACAACCATCAGAAAGGTGCAGGACGTGAGCCACTTCACCTGTGCCTCCATGCTCCTGTGCCCTTGTTTCTCCTCTCTGTAATTTTAGGGCTGTTGCCTGCCCTGCCAACGACATGCTCCTGTGTCTGCTTGAACACGATGCTGGGGGCGGCTCGGCTGGGCACAGCCCCATGCTCCCCCGGCAGGATGCCCATGCCGGTTGGCTGGTGGGGAACTGGGGTTATCTTCAGCCAAGCCTCTGGCTGGACCACAGTGAGTTGTAACCTGGTGATACACCACAAAAAACTAGCAGCGATACTCTTTAGAGGTAGCTGGCCCTGCAGCTCTCGCCCTTCCCGCTCCCGGATGGTGAGGGAGCTGGGCTTCAGGCTGTGCCTCTGCTTGGGGGGGGGGAGCGCATATGCCAGTCCTTCTCCTCCTCCATCCTTTTCAGCTGAGTCAAGGTTGGTAGAGTTCCTGCAGCCGTCCCTCTGTCAGCCTCCCAGTGCTGTGTTTCCTTCCTTTCTGTGGGATAAGGAGTTGGGCCAAGGATACAGGTATTGTCTGTCAGTGATGATGTGAATTGGGTGATGGGAACAGAACGCCAGAGAAGAGGCAGAGGTAGGGGAATAGCAGTCCCTGGCTGGGATGTGTTCCCAGGGTCCTGAGTCCTCTTGCCTTGCTCCTGGCAGGAAGAGGGGTGCCTGGGGAGCTGCCCCAGCCCTGGGGGGAGCACAGACCTGCGTATCCAACAATACCTGTCACAAGGAGACCGCAACGGTCTTTTGAGAGGCAGGCTTGAGAAATCAAGGGATGAGATGATCACATCTCTGTTTACTCTCTGATAGCCTGTTAACGTCAAAGACCATCATCAGTGAGTCACCTACCCGTGTGTGAGACTGTCGTCGTTGCTGCTCTAAATATAAATGTCAAAGGATATTGAGCTGTAGGAATAAATCAGACTGCGTTGGCATGTATGTATCAGACAGGTCTTTCTCTTCTGCTCGTCCTTCTCTCTCCATTAATAAGGCTGGTACGATCGATGGGAAACAGCTGCAAAAACCCAAATCAAAGCCAGAAATACAGGTTATATTTTCGTATGCAGATCTGACGCATCCACGCATTGGATCTCTTCTTGCTGGTTCTGTCAAAATTATATCTGGGAAGAGACAGAGAAAGGTTTGCTTTGACAGTATTTCTGAGGTAGAAACACTGAGAGACTGAGAAGCGTTTTCACACCCTTTTTTATACATACAGAATGTGTGATTTTTAAATAAGCACCAGAGAGAAAGTAACTTCGCCAAGGCTGCCAGCCACTGCTTGTGAGCCGCGCACATGGGTGTGCTGTGTGATTTGTGCTGCTTCAGGTTAAAGCGCTTTAATTAGACTCTCAGGTTAGGCGTTTCAGTTATAAACAGAAGTGGTGGTGGTTTTCTGTGGAAAGCTGGGAGGAAACAGTAAGAAAAGTCCCTTATCTTTCATCTTACTGAGCATCCTTTTTTTCTCTTTAATTTTTTTTCAGTAAAAACTATTTTTTAAGTCAATAAAACGGTGATGAAGAAGGCCAAAAGAAAAACATCGGGAGCCTGAAATTGCCTGTTCTCTTGCCACAAGCACTCTGCTCTGACAACTGCAGTGTGGTTTTTTTTTTTCACCTGTTGTGCTCCCTTTACAGCATACGAAGAAGTAATGGATTTAAGAATGAACTCTGCTGCTGCAAAGTAAATACTTCTTGAGTAGAAAAAAGTTTTTAAAACCCCATAGAACGTGAATAGAGGGAGATAACATTGCTTCACTTTACTGTTCCCCTACTGAATGCTGTTATGAGGATAATCCTGTATAAAATGATAGAGGATAGTTAAAAGATGTATTATTAGGTTGTCCTTTGTGCATTTCTTTAAGGATTTTCTTTAATGATTAAAGAAAATCCTATGGAGATATTAAATTTTATAGCAGGTATCTGTATCTGTTTCAGTTTACTCATTAACATCAGAGAACTCTACAATAATGACTCAGGCTGCTATTTTCAGGGGAAAAAATGACAACAGTGCATTTGGGCTGAAACCACCTCCTTCAGCGGCACTGCAGCATTCAGGGCTATTTCACTTTGCATCAGAGACGCTGGGATGTCTCACGCTGCTGCGTGTAAGACTCACCCTCAGACTTTGCCCCCTTATTTTAGAATGCTGTGATAATTCTCATACTTTCAGTATTTTATAAATAACGTACTTCTGGGGGAGTCAGGATTTCTTACTCCTCAGCCGTCTGTTTACCATCGCTTTCCTCTTTGGTTTCTTTCTGCCCCTTTCCATGTTGTGTTGTCCTGCCTGGGGCTGGATGGCTGATCTCGGTGCCCGAGTGGGCTTTCCTGGGTGGGACTCCCTGGCTGTGAATGAGGACGAGCTTTGTTCCTGGGGAGGTGGGTTTCTGCTCTCTGTCTTTATCACTCCCACTTTTTGCCTCCCTCTTCTCAGTTATACTTTTCCTTTTCTTCTTTCCTGTCTCCATTCCTCTGCTAGGGCAGACCTAGTAAAGGATTTCAGCTTCTAAAAAGCCCAACAGTGGCCAAACCTTCATCCATCCTCCATAAAACACATCACCTCCCTTTGGTTTATACTGCACAGAGGAACAAGCAGAACCCCTGGGCTGTGGTCCAGAGGATGAAAATACTGCCTGTCCCTGCTGCAGGATTTTTGCAGGAGATGGACCGAAGCACTCTGTTCAGCATGGGTAGCCTGAGCCCGTTGGTGTGTCCATGGGTGCAAGAAGCATCCCTCCAGGGACTGCAGCAGAGAAAGGACTTCAAGCTGCCTTCCCTTCCATGCTGTCCCAGCTTCACATCCATCTCTTGGCCGCCACCTCCCCTTGTTTGCGACCATGCTGACCATTCATCCTTTCTCTTCCGTTTCTCCCATCGTGTCAGATGTTTCTGCCTGTCCCCTTGCCTCGTGATACGGCCACCTCTGTGCTAGCGTCCTGGAAGATCTGCCTCACGTCTTCAGCCTGTGGCCCCAACCTTTTGCCTCCCTTTCTTATAGTAACCCCCAGCCCAAGCAGAGCATTTTGTAGGTTCTCCAGAAAATTCTCCTGCCTCCCTTTTGGGGGAAAGAGCTGGCAACTTTTGCCAGGGAAACATGGAGTTGTATTCAGTAGAGACAGTACTTAGTCCCTGAAGTCTGAAAATGTAGGAAGGTGGGAGACAACTGTGAGAAACAGAAATGCCAGAAAAATGTGGAGGATTTGGCAGCCCTGTCTTTTATGTCTACTGTGTTACCCTGCAGAACAGAATTGAAGACAAACATATGAATGTGCTAACGTTGAAGTTATTGGATGGGAGTCTGCTGCTGAATTACTTTGGGGGATTTTTGATTTTTTTATTTTCAAGGTTATTTTTTTTGTCGTTCTGCTCTATTTAGTTTCTCTTCAGATAATAGTAATGAAAAATTACAGTGCTCCGTAACAACTCGAAAACTCTTGTCTTTAAAAATGCTCATTTGATATTAGCCTCATTTGGCTAAAACCATATCAGATATAGTTGAATGCTGTCAGATTGCTGTTGCTTTGTGTCACCAGGCCAGGAACCAGACTGTAGTCACGAATGTTTCAGGAAAATCCATCATAAAAACACTGGTAGGAAGCTGGTTAATACCAGTCTAATGCAGTTAAACAGATTATCTTGAGAGTACATACCTCTGCAACCTCAGCAACTAAACTGGTGAAGGGGCTGGAAAATAAAACTTATGGGAAGCGGCTGAGGGAGTTGGGGCTGTTTAGCCTGGAGAAGAGGAGGCTGAGGGGAGACCTGATTACAGCCTACAAATACTTGAGAAGGGATGGCGGGGAGGTAGGGGAAGCGCTCTTTACATTAGTGATGGGTGATAGGACAAGAGGAAATGGGTATAAGCTTAGTCAGGGGAGATTCAGGTTGGATGTTAGAAGTATTTCTTCTCTGAAAGGGTTGTCAGCCACTGGAATAGGCTGCCCAGGGAGGTGGTCGAGTCTCCATCCCTGGATGTGTTTAAGAAAAGGGTGGATGAACTACTTAGGGATATGGTTTAATGGGGGTTAGGGACGGTTGGACTGGATGATCTCTGAGGTCTTTTCCAACCTAGAAAATCTATGAAATCTATGAAATCTATGAAACCCCTTTATAACTGTATCACTTGGACTACCCAGTCCTTTTAACCATTATTGTGCTGCAAAGAGGGGAAAACTCAAAGTCTATTGGATGTGAAAAGTTACCAAAAGTTGTCAGCAGATGTCAAAACAGAGAGATTATTTCAAAACCAGCCTAATTGTTATTCATATTGTGCTTACCTGTGAGAGGAGATCATACTACTGCGTCCCTCCTTGTCTGAAACTGCTTACAGCTGCTCTCTTCAATTCACACCATGCGTCCGGTCACATCTTCTGTGTCTGCCACCGCTGATACAAAGCTGTATACTGCAGGAATGGCATTTACCATCACTGCAAATAATGCTGAACTCATTACAAAGCTGTTAAAAGTGACCTAAAATTTGTCGGTTTGAATTAATATAATGTAACTATTGACCTCACTCAATAGGCTGACTGAACTCACAAAAAGTAGTTTCAGTAATAAGCAAAATGAAATGTTACTTGGTGTAAATATATAGAGTATCTTGCCGAGGAAGAAGAGAGATGAACAGAGCACAAACCTGAGCTGCTGACTCATTCAGACTGGTCTTTTTTTTCTTGAATGGGAACTGAAGTTGAACCATGACTTTGAAGTCTTGCCTGTATTTGATCCAGAACTGAACTGCTTCCTGCCTACCTGCCTTCCCACAAAGCATCTTTAGCTACTGCTCTTAAAATCCTGACCTCCTCCCATGCCAGCCTGCATAGCCTGTGTCCTGTTGGCAGCTGCATGGCAGCACAATGTTGCAGCCTTTTCCCTTGCACCCTGCACTGCTCGAGGTGTCACCCCTGCACTGCTCGAGGTGTCAACCCTGCACTGCTTGAGGTGTCATCTCGCACTGCTCTGGGCTGCTGTGGAGCCCCATGCATGGACCAGCCTGTGGCATGAAGGGCTCTGGCTGCAGCGCCATAAGGTGGGGAGTTGGCACCTCCCTTGTGGCGTGGGGCTGCAGGAACCCTCCTGTTGGGCTCTGGCACGTGACCGGGCTCGAGCGGCCCGACATCTGTGTGTGTATCTCCGTACCTCGTCGTGTGCGTTGCCGTCTGTCTGCGCTGAGCGCTGTATGCCCAGGCTTTTGTGGGAGTGAAGGGACAGGGGTGTGCAGAGCTGATGTCTCTCCCAATGCCCCAGGGCAGCCAGGACAGCACTGCAGACTGTGGTAGAGCCTGTCACTCTCCCACTACCTTCCCTTGCCCATGCCCAGGTTGGCGACAGGCTGCACAGGCATGCCGGTGCAGAACAGGCTGCAGAGGACGAGAGCTGGGAACACAGACCCACCTCACACTGAGAGTCTGCTCCTGTCCTGTAACCCATAAATCTTGTCCTAACAGTTAGACGGTTCGGTAAGAGCAAGTTTGAGGTGGTTCATCACTACCCAAACTGGTTAACAAATATTTACTGACCTCCAGCCAAGCTAAACTGCAATCATACTATAAACTGCGGTAATTCCACCCCTTCCCTGACTGTGAAATTCAAGAACAAAGTGAAAATGAATGTTTTTTTCTTTATTACGAGACAAATAAAGGCCAAGGCTTTGTGGTTTTCAAAATCCAATTGTGATAAATGTTGCAATCAGACCATCTCAATGCACAAGGTGAGAGGGCACGGGTTCTGTGGTCATCCTCGTTTTCCTGGGGCTTGTTGCCAGTGTGGATGCTAAAGCTCACCCAAAGGACCACAGGGACCGGGTCCTTCCTTCTCAGCGCAAAGTGCCAGTTGGATTTTTGTGCAGTTACCCATGTTCTGCAGCACAGAACTATAAACATGTCAATAAAAACAGAGGAGTTTCTAAGCTGGCCAAAAATGGCATGCTTCTGCACGCATACTGATAGGCCTCTGTCTCTTTCGACTTTGCTTTTACTTAGCGTTCAAACTCATTTTTCTTCAGTGAAGGCTGCATGTGCTTTCTTCATACTTCCAATCAGATGTGCTGCTACAGCTATTCTTCCTTCATGGGAAGACCCTTGTCCGTTAAGGAGCTCATGATCTGTGTACCAGTTGCGCTGAGCAGACACAGGCACGTGCTGTACTGTGCTGCAGCTATTGCTTGGCCTTCAGGACCGTGCTGTGCTGCCCATGTCCCTTGCCATGGAGTACCCTCAGCTGGCTAATCATAATGGAAGAGCCTGGAGGTGGCACCTATTTGGTACCAGTAGTGACACCATGAGCACGTCATTGTCTTTGTCTTGAGATGAAGCAACATACTTTCATATAAACATCCAATTGAAAATCCTATAAACACTCAAAAGATCGCAATGCCAGTGAATCTCACCCCTGATGGGAAGTCTGCTCAGCATGCTGTGCCCTGTCCGCAGGTCTGTCTCATGCTGTGTTGTCTTGGATTTCCTAGTGTTAGAAGGGACATAAAATCTTGTGGCTTGCTGCCACCTTTTCTGGGATATTCATACATATCCTCTTTCTTGAGGTTTTTTGTGTCTTTCTTTTTGCAATCCAAAAATAACCAGCACCTCCTGGTGCACAGCCATAGTACACTGATATTTGTGTATGTGATTATAGATTTTGAAGAGCAAAATCTGCTCCTAAATATACACCCATCGAGTAAGGCCACCGTTAATGCCGTACATCATTAAGTCTTAGTCAGTGTAGCATTGTGATGCGTGGGAAGGAATCCCAGACTGAATCTATTTTTGACCTCTCAGGGCTGATTTACAATGAGTTATAGTAGCAGAGTTCAAATATTTGCCAATTATTGCTGAGCTGGACTACTATCAGGCAGTTTTATTTTTAAAACTTGCAATTCTGAGAGTATCATTGAGGTTCCTTAACAGAGCCCTGCTTGACCTTTCAGCAGATTCATTGGATTTCCTAAACTGGCACTCGCAGGCAGGGCTTATGCAGCAGAGCGATGCTGCCCAGTGTGGTCATTGCTTAATGGGGCTATTGACCTCTCGTTGCTGGTTCTCCGCTTTTCATGAGGCTCTTCATGTTGTGTTGCAGTGCTCAAAATCTTTAAGTGTCTTCTTGGAGGAAACAATGGGAAGCTAAATTGCCAGGTAGCAAGGAGCCTGCAGGAAACTATGATATGAAAATGAGAAATGAGCCAAAAACTTCCTAGAGGGGTGGTCAATGCCCCAAGCCTTTCGGCATTTAAGAGTCATTTAGCCAATGCCTTTAGTAACATGCTTTAACTTGGTCAGCCCTGAATTGGTCAGGCAGTTGGACTAGATAATGGTTGTAGGCCCCTTCCAACTGAAATAGTCTATTCTGTTCTATCCAAAATGTGATCAGTTGATTCAAGCGTCAGCTGTGTTGTACTTGCAGAATTGCGTCTGGGCTCTACAATATCTATTCTGTTGCTCACAGAAGTTCAGTCTTCGGAAACTGGGGAAGAAGGGGAGCCAAATTTGGCTCTCCATTTTCAGGAGAACTTCCTCAGGGTCAGTTTTGCCTGTGCTGGACCTTGGCCCTATGTGCAGGCATGTAGGTTCATATGCTAACGATAATCTTAGCTGGGCTGCAGGAGAGTCTTCAAAAGAGTTTCCTTTCAAGGAGACACACGAGTCCTTGGCAGTTACGTCCAGATGTGACTCTGCTGTGTATCTAATACTAATTAAATACTTGACAGGTGTTTTTTGTTTTTGTTTTGCAGGAAGAAATCATTCCTATTTTCAGCTCTGTATGCTGCCTTTATATTTGGTGGTCGGCACCTAATGAACAAACGAGCAAAATTTGAACTGAGGAAACCACTAGTGCTCTGGTCCCTGAGCCTTGCCGTCTTCAGGTAGGCTTTTCTTCACACCAGCTGCCTTTGACGGTAGTCCATGAAGAGGGTTTGGGGTTCTTCACATACAACAGCACTGCTAATGAGACAACAACCTCACCCAGAAATGGCATTTCTTTAGTTCTGCTCTTCAGGGTTATGTCCTGATCCTCTCCTCACCATTGAAGTGATCCCCTTTGACTTGCCAGATCATACGACGTTTGAAGAGGAGAGAAATCAATAACCCTCTTGAAGAACAAAGCTGAAAATAAAGTGAGGACATGAGAAAAACTGCTTATCATTGCAATAAATTTACCATGCAAGCTACAAATGGAAATAAACACATTAAGATGCTAGTCTTGTTCTCACTTACTAGTTAGTATTACGATTATCTGGGTGCATATATGGAATATTTAGTCAAGACTCTGATCTCCATGACAGTGAGGTAAGCCTAAAGTCACTGATTTGATGGCAGGTAAATTAGGCCACTGTAATTGAAATCAGAATCTGACTTCTAGTTATTCCATCGCAGGGAGCTTGTGAATGTAGCCAAAGGGTGTCTCCAGAGGGAAAGGCCACTTTTTACTACTGCACATCTCTCTGGCTGTGTGTTGACTCTGTATCATCGAGTAGGGGGAAAGTCAGGTTCAGGTTCTTGACAGTTGCTGAAGTCAGGGGTAAAACTGACCAACCTGAATTCCACTTTATCTGCTTAATATGCTAGTTTATAATGAAGCTGAAGATAAATGAATGAACAAATAAGAATAGCCCTTACAAACACAGAAACTTTTGGTACAATGTACTACTAACGGTGCACAGAAGACCTGAGGATTATCCTTCATTTCAGCGCCTATTGGGAGTGTTACGTTGTAGTTTACTCAACAGCATAGAAACCATTTGCAAACCATTATAGAACACTGATACCTGTATCTTTTTCTAATGTCAATATAATAATTACCAGTTGTATTAGTTCACAAGTACATAAAACAGGTTTGCTTACTGAGCAGCTGTGAATGATGCATGATTTTTCACAGGACGAGAACAGTTTGAGGTG